AATAATAAAAAATAAATAAGCATTTCTCTGAAGCACAATACACACGTTTCATGGCACGCAATGTTGGCAAGACTTTGGGCCATCAAGGCCATGCGGCAATTAGTTGGTGCTTCCGAGAGCCAAACGAGGTCCGAAAGTCAACTTTGACTTGCTTTATGCTTACTCTATATTATTATTTTTGTTTTGTTGTCTTCTCTGCATTTGTCTTCCTTTTTTTATGTTATTAATATGTGCGCCTAAATGTAGGATGTTCAAATCTGTAGATGTGTTGTTGTTGCTGCTGGACAAATTTGCCTTCATTCAGCGTTTGACGTGGCCAAATTAAAGCTGCTCGGATTTCACCAGGCGAAGTCGGACAAGGGTCTGCGGCGTTGCTAGAGTCCTTCGCTGGACGCTCGCTCAGCTTGCTTTGCTGCTGCCTTTTGTCTCTGAGCGGCTTTTGTTTGTTGTGTAATCTATGCGCTTGATGGCACAGCTGTTTGTCCAGACAGCACAAGAAAAATGCCAACAATTAAGTGGGCAGCACGGCCAGCACTGTGAGAGGAGACGGTGAGAGAGGGTGAGGGAAGGACGAGAGTTGGATTGTAGTAGGCAATGCATTAATTTAATTAAAAGCAGCGCAAGTTGCGGTAAATTTGAAATTTGTGTAAATTCAACTTGTTTAGAAAACACTCGAAAGCATTTAATTGGCATTTAGTTATGCCAGCCGAGCTGCCAACCTGATTTGTGAGTGTCTGCCTCAGTGTATGTGTGTGTGTGTGTGTGTGTGTGTGTGTGTGGCAGGCTAAGCTAAGCCAGCTGCAGCAGCAACCCCTTGCGCAAACGACGCCACTGCACACACTGGCACAGAGGTCAGTAGCCTTATCAGCAGCATTTGTTATTACACTCACCCACACATAGTTGGTTTTGGCAAAGCTCTCTCTTTCTTTCGCTCTCTCTCCCGTTCTATCTGTCTGTCTGCCTGCTGTTCTCTTAATGCAAGCTCTCTTAGCTGCTGAAATATGCAAACGGTGGCTAATTAAAAGCCACAGCATCCCAATGTTGCCTTGTTTACATTGCCCCTCTCACAGCGATGCTGATGCTCTTTGGCCGTTGCCCATTTCCCCTCGGCTTGCGCAAGCCACTCGTTGCGCTCTCTCCTGCTGCAAGTGCGACAAAAGCCGAGTCGAGTCGAAGCTTTTGGACAGCAGCTTTGTCGTGTTCGCTTGGTGGGGTTTTGGTTCGGGTCTGGGCGCTCGTGTCGTTTCGGGTCGTGTCGTGCTTTGTTGGCTCGTGTTCGCAGCATCTTTCGAGCGAAATTCACTCAGTTTCATTATTTCAGATTCATTTGGCTGCAGACCTCGCTCGTGTCCAGTTCTTTGGCGCGGCAAATAGATGGCAACAAAGGCTGTTGGCTTTAACAGTTATACAGTTATACAGTTAACCCATAGACTACAAATTGTGTTAGCAGTTACTTATGCGTGTCAGAAGAGTATGTGAGTGTGCCTGTGCCTGTGTATGCGTGAGTGCCGCCGACAAGCAATCAATACGAGCTAGAAAGAGAGAGAGAGAGAGAGAGGGAGTTGAGTGCAAGAAATATGTGTGTGAGTGTGGATGAATAAAGGAACAGCAGAAGCGAGCAACAGCCGTCGGCATTTTGTGCGGCCCGGTAGAGCGCTGTTTAAAGTTGACGTTGATGTTGATGTTGATGACGTATGGACAGTTGATGTCGCCACTTTTAAAGCCGCTAACCAGCGGCCACCGAAGCAGACGGCGGAAATTTTCAAATGCGCTGACAGCGCCAGCCCACAACCAGAACGGCGCGGCGACAGCCAGCGACTGCAGCGGCTAACATGCGAGATGACTACGCAAGTAAGTAGAAGTGTCAAGATTTCTTTATAGGAATGAGTGGAAAATGAAACGAAATGACAGTGCGTGTGTGTGAGTGAGTGTGCATGTGTGTGCGTGTGTATGCGTGTGATGCTCTTGTGTGCAGTTTTGTGTTGCATACTTTTATGCTTAATTTTCGCTGTGCGTATTTGCGTCTGTGTCTTTCACTGTGTGTGGCTGTGTGTGTGTGCTCGTGCTGCCATATGTGTGCATAAGTTTTCGCCCGTTTAAATATTAATCTGGCAACTTTTTAATGCGCCTGCAAATTGTTATGTATGCGAGTTGTGCGAACTTTTGCAGCAGCCACTGTAAATTGTTGCCAAGTTGTAAATTGTAAAATTGTAAAATGGTAAATTGTAAATCGTAAATTGTTATTTACAGCCAGAATAAAAGCAAAAAAAAAAAAAAAACGGTTCAGCTACAAAACTTTGAAAGCCAATGAATTAAATAAAAATAAAAATAAACACAGACACCCACACATACATGCATACTCATACACACAGACACAAATCAGGGCAGTCAATGACGTAGGCCAAGGGGGACGCAGTGGAAGACGTTGCCATGAACTGGCAAACAAACGCGTGAGAAACCAAATTGAATTGAATTGCTTGACATGACGACAGTCTGTTTGCAGCTCCCCGCCCCGCCTCTGCCTGGCTACCTATTCCCCAGCAGACACACATTCCAACACCGCAACCCCTGCAGCTAACGTAACTGTGCTGTAGGCGTAGCCATACATGGCCCACCCCCTCCAGCCCCCACTGACTACCCTCTGGCGTGCTGTTTGGTTTTTGGATGCGACTTTTGGGTAAAATTGTATAGCAATTTATTTGCTCTCAGCTTCGATGCTATCTTTTGCATATCTCTCTGTGTGTGTGTGTGTGGGGAGTGGGAGCTAGTGGGCGTGGTTGCGTTTGCTTCATTACAATTTAGCCAGGCTAAAATGCCGTTCGTGCACTTAAAGCATGCGTATTTGCATGGCCCTGGCAAACAGCAGCAGATCCACTCAGCCAGGCTGCTGCCTGGGTAAATCATCATTATATATTTATGATTATTTTATTACATGTGCGTGTGTGTGTGCGTGCCTAACGGCTGCTTATGGCTGCTTATGTTCATATCATATCTTTTGTATATATATGTATGTATATTATTATATTGCTACTATRTGCCATATACATAGATGTGTGTATATGATTAGCATTAATGTTAATTAAATCAATTATTTAAGCACAGTTACTGCAAGCATTCTGTATAGCCTGTGTGTCCTGCGTGTCCTGCGTGCCCTGTGCTTCTTCTAGCCAAAGGCCCTGAGCCAATTGGCTGCTCCTACACAACGTCAATGTTTGTTATTTGCGCAACAAATAGACGACACTTGCGAATTGGCAGCTGGCAACAAAACCAGCCACGCCCCCTCTGTCCGCTCTCCCTCTGTGTTGGTCTGGCTGCCCGCCTGCCGTGCCCTGCCCTTGGGTGCGTTGGGTCCCACTGTTGGGCCACTTGTTGATTGATTTTTATTTTTATTTACTTTTTGGCCTGCCTTTCCTTCCTTCTGCTTCTCCGTCTACTTAGCTTCTCTTCACTTTTTAGTGTTTTTTCTGTTTTTTTTTTTTTAGTTTAGAGATAATGTGGACTGCGTTTCAGGCCTCACTTCCGCTGCGAAGGGTGGGCTCTGCGATAAGCCCTCATTATCATTTGCAGGCATTTGGCGTCGCTTTGCATATTTTCGATAATGAAATGAGAAGACATGCACCCGCACAAACAACACACACAAAAAAAAAGGAGAAGAAGAAGAGAGAAATATGCTACCCAAACCAGCAACAATGTGTGCTCATTGTCGCAGCTATATAGATACATCTGTGCATAGCTACAGATACAAAGATACTACACGCACTGATTTGGTTAGCGAACGAGTGTGTGAGTGATTCTATGTGTGTGTGCATGCGTGTGTTTGTGTGTGCGTTTGCCAATTGTTGGCAGTCACGAACAACGAGTCTAATCTGAACGCATGACGCATGCAGATACAGATACAGATACAGAAGCCCTTAGATACACATAGAGACGCATAGCTCTAGAGCTCTATGGAGGCAGGCCCACGCTGCATTTGTTATAGAGTAGCAGCAGCAGTAGCTGGGCAGGGGGAGGCTTGGAAAATACAGCGGAAATCATTTATTAAACAAGCCCCTCAACTCACTCGCTTACGCCATCTCACTCTGGCCAACTCTTACGCTCTCACTCACTCGCTGTGAGCGCATGCATACATATAACTGTTCTCATTTATTTCAATTACTATATATACACATACATATATGCATTGACAGCATAGCTAGTTCACTCGCCCTCTCACTCTCTCGCTCGCTCGCTCCCGCTTTTGCTGTTTCTGTCTGTCTGCCTGTCTATTCGCCTGCCAATTTTCCTATTGAATTGTCTTTAATATTTTAATAATACGGAATGTGTCGCGTTTCATTGCCTGCGCTGCTTGAATTGCTCTACCCGGGTCCGGGTCTGGGTCCATGCCCGACTCGATTGCCTCGGCTGCTATCAGGGCAACTCCTTGTTCTCGTCCTTGGCAAGTCGTTGGCATTTTCTAAATCAGTGCTTGCCTCGTGACTGCCGCAAATTAGTTACAATCGATTTAGCTGCTCGTTACAGCAGCCGCCAAAAACGACAGCAACAACAACAACAACATCCTGACGCAACAACAACAACAGCAAATGAACACTGCAAATGCGTGAACTAAACATAAATCGCTTCACGCATCAACAAAATTGACTTGACTTCTAGTTGTGCCTCAAAGTGTGTGTGTGTGTGTAAGTGTGTAGTTGAGTGTTGTTTTTTTTTTTCGACCCTAATACCTTCAGTCACAGTTAATGTAACTGTGACTAACTGTAATTGTTGACTGCACTAAACATAAATTGCGAACAGTTCTTAAGACCTAGCATAAGTGCGTCTTGGGTCTGATATTTGGATAGGATTTAATGGAAATTCAATAAATATTGTAGGAAAAAATACAAAGAAATACGTAGAGAATTTAGAGAGTTTTTTGATAAGCTAAATGTGTAGAAGAATTCATTAAACTAGTTGCAGATGTAAACAACTTGAACTACGTTACTAATATTAGTAACTACTACTATTACTACTACTACTATTACTACTATTATTACTACTACTACTATTACTACTATTATTACTACTACTACTATTACTACTATTATTACTACTACTACTATTACTACTATTATTACTACTACTACTATTACTACTATTATTACTACTACTACTATTACCTACCTACCTACTATTATAACTAGTACTATTATTTACTACTACTACTACTACTACCTACAACTATTACTACTACTACTATTACTACTACTACTACCTACTACTATTACTACTACTACTACCTACTACTGTTACCTACTACTACTACAATTACCAGCTTACATCATATATGATGTAAAGCCGACCTTAGCTACAGCACTTGGTAAAATATTTGCAAGAAGTTTCCTATATTTACAGTTTATATAAAATAGAAAGTTTCCCTAGCTCCACCGCTGTGCATAAAACTAATTCCACACTCAATCTTCAAATTGGCTCAAATAAAATCAAAAGAAAATTCTGTTTCTCGTTGCAATTAAATTGCATATACATACATATCAATTTGCACATATTTCTTCTTGAAGCTGTGCATGGCTTGAGTGTCTCTATATATGTATTTTGCTCCAACTAATATATAGTATATATATTTTTCGTATTTTGTTTTTGGTACTTGTTGTTTTATAAACCCATCAAAAATATGGAAAACTTTTCTAAGCTTCAGGCTTAACAGGCATACGCATAATCACAGGGCTGCCGCTGCTTTGGCTTCCTCTGCTGCTGGTGCGGCTACTGCTATTGCTCCTGTTGCTGTTGCTAATCCTTTAGAGCAACAACAAGAGCAACAATAGGCAAAGCGCCCACAAAAACCCAACTGAAACCGAAAACCGAAAAACCCTAAAAACCGATGCTCATGCAAACTAAATACCGTTATCGTTTTCTGCGCGCTCTCTCTCGCTCTGCAAAACTTTAGCGAAACAAACTGTGCGGTTTCACTTTGTTAACAGCTCAGAAAATGTTTTTGGCCAACGGGGTGGGGAAATTGACGAGGGAGAAGGGTGGTGGGATGGCGGGGAAAGGGTGAAGCACCTTGTTGGTGGCTCTGGCAAGCAGCCACAAATAATGCAAACAATCTTTTAAAAGACCACAAAGTTGCACGCCCCGCAATGCACGTATGTGAAGGAAAGAATAGAAGACAGAGAGAGAGAGAGAGAGGAGAGAGAGCATGCCCTGTAATGTATCCTTTTGTACAGCCAACTATTGGCATATTAAACAAAATTCATAATCTAAAATAAATTCGAGCACGAGCAAAAAAAAAAAGAAAGCAAAGACTTTTTACAACTTTAGCTCAACTATTCTTCCTGCTCTGCTTTAGTTTGATTTTCTTTATGGCGTTTACCAACACTCAGTTACAGTGCACGTCCATGAAATTGGTGCTGCAGCTGGAGCTGCAGCTCCAGATGCTTAGCCTGTTATTTCTCATCTGTGACTTTCTTTTTGCTTTTTTGTATTTTTTCCAGTTGATTTCTCGCTCTCTGCACAATCATCAAACAACTTTTCACGTGCCTTTGCATAATGTCTGCACATTGGTCCGTCGCTGCTGCGCTATATTTGGTCAGCAGCAGCAGCACGTTCTGCGTTCAGGTCCTGGTCGCTTCTGCTGCTGCGGCTGCTCCTGCTCCTGCTGCTGCTTGTTTTCGCCTTGACTTTAATCATATTTCCATCAGAAACATGCTGCGCATATTGAACAGCATCAGCCGTAGCAGCAGCATCAGCAGCAGCCAAACAAACATAAAAGTGAGCATACACACCCACACACGCATACATACATACATATATATAGCAATACTCTTTTCTCTCTCTCTCTCACACACACACGTTTGTAT